CATTTGTCTGAAACGGTATAGGGTTTCCTGCCTAGGCAGGGGGTTGGACTAGAAGACCTCCAAGGTCCCTTCCAACTCTGCTATTGTATTATATTCAGTAACTGGGGCTGTTCACATTTCGTTCCCTGCCACACCAGAACGCAAGGAATCCAATTGTTGAGGTCCATTGCTTCACAGGATTGATTGATTATTGTGTGTCATCAAATCATTTTCAGCGCCAAGTGACATCAGATAGATTTTATCTATGAACATTGACCATACAAAAGGGCAATGTCCTCCACCATGTGTACTGTTGGTTTCATTAAGAAAACTTGGCCTGCAAACAAACTATGGATACTGTTCTTTAAAAGGGTTGCAAAGTCTGAAGATCAGTCTTGCATCCTCTTTTGAAGTGGCTTGTCATTTCGTACTATAGGGAAGTGCATAAACCGTTTTAATTGGGTGGTCTCATTCTTGTGCAGTGGCTTCCAATGTTATATATAACACTTAACTTACATAAATTGGACTTCAGGCAACTGTTTCTATAAGACATACAATTTTAAAGGTGTGGAAAATAATTGTGTTATGCACGGATCCAAAGCAATAGGGGATATAGATGAATATAGCAGAATGAACCTTAAGATGGGCAACAAAACCCATAAGAGCCCTAAGGTGAAGGCTTTCATTTTTATCCATTTGTCAGCCATCCTTTGAGAAATTTGTAAGTTTGGTTTAGGGAGAAGATGCTTGGTCAGGTTCCAGTTTGCAAAAATCAGGTAACACAAAACTTTCCAGAAGTGGTACATGTTGGGGAGTGCCTAGTCACAGTCTTTTCAGTATCCAGGGTCTTTAAACTATCTCCTGTGTCTTCAAGCGTCTATGTAAGTGAAGTCTACGTTTTAAAGAAATGTTCTGATACCTTCTCAGAAATTTTTTTTAACTCTAGTGAAATTAAGCAAGGAATTGCTATTGAGTCTACAAAGCATTATTGTACCCATTATTGTACACATTTTTAAAAGCAATATACTGTCAAGTATATATAGTTTAGGCAATGACATTTATGTTGCCATGTGCTGTTCTTTAAAATATTTAAGAGTAATTTTAGTTTCACATGGTTTACTGATAATATGATATGACGTAGCTCTTTTTCCTGCACAGGCTAATTCCTTTCCATTTAATTTACTTCAGATGAATCATGTCCAAAGCAGGGGTCATTCGTGTGGGACTTGGTATAGTTCTTGGAGCAGCTGCAGGAATAGGTCTCATCTTTTATTTCTACAAACAGAAGACAAAGAAGCACAGTCAGAAAAACAACTCAATATATCCAGTTGTACATTGTCAGCAAAATGCTGTGTATGTTCGTGAACAGGGAGAAACCCTTCAGCCTTATAATCAAGGTAAGTTGATGATTAATTTATTTTGCATTTTTAGTTATTCATGACTGTACTTACGCAGAGTAATAAGATACTTTTTTTTTCTTAGCATTTTCCCCACAAGTGCAGGGGCCGTTTTTTTTTTTAGGGATTAACTATGTGTTGAGCCATTACCATTTTTTTGGAGCATAAGACATACCTCCCCCCCCTCCCCCCCCAAAGGATGAAAATCTTGGTGTGTTTTATACACTGAATACAGCATTTTTGGCCTCTCAAAACCTTACCCCCTTCACAAAAATGGGCATGCAGAGGGTATAGGAGGCTTGAAAAGTGCTGCTGGAGGCTGGAGAGGGCAAAACCTTTTTTTTTTNGACCATCTTCGGACAGTGCTGGCTCTTCAGCTTTGAAATGGAGATGAGCACCACCCCCTAGAGTTGGGAATGATTAGCACATATGTGTGAGGGGAACCTTTATCTTTTTACCTAAAGCTCTCATTTACTTGGAAAAAAATGCTACAAAGAGCAGATAATCTCAGAACAATATTTTTGTATTTTGTTTTATTTGCATTATAAATACCTTTAAATTAAAATTCAATATGTAAATAATCAAACTTAAGTTTGTTTTGTTTTCTGAGGCTTCTCATCCTGTGAGGCCCTACCCTAAGCTGCAGCTTGCTTACTTACCTTTTTCTAAATCTAGCGCTGCAGGCAAGTAAGCAAATGCTAAGTCTAGTATTATTAGAAAGTCTGGTAGCTAAATCTTTGGACAAAGAAAGGTGTGGTTTCCAAATCTAACAATGCTTAAAGCAGATTTAATGTTGTTTATAGTTCCTTTCAAGTTGCTTTCCGAGAACTTTTTAAACAGTAGAAATACCTTAGTTTTCAAGCATGGTTGATTTGTCTGCAAGAGTATAGGAAACATTTTCAACTGGCTCTCTAGGATTTATTGACTGATAAAATAGTAAACATGCTTTTTCCTGTAACATCCTATAAGCTTTAAATACTGGGATTCTGCTGTATCTTGGAAATAATTTGAAAAAGGTGCTTCAGGTTATGCAGAAATGCAAATGTAGTACCTGTATATGTGTCTTTAAAGCAGCTGCATCTTTTCTTAGGAATGCACTGTTGGTCTTTGTAGCTGTCATATGAAAACAGCTTCTGTTTGGCAATGTGAGACACTGAAGTTCTGAAAAATTTGGGGACAAGTAGCTATCCAATCTATCCATGCAAATATAATCCCAGCCAATCAATAAACTTAATTTTTCGAAAAGTCCTGCATGAATAAAGTTACAAAGTTAGGATGGAAAATAAGCATTTGCAACCCAAAAACTAAAATTCAAAAACTCCAATAATGCAAGATGTAAACCCTGAAATACACATTATTGTGGCTAATTAAAATATTGTGATGTCCTCTTTGACCAGTTCAATGGATATGGAACATCATGTTACTTAATAAGCACACAAACCAATTAAATTTTAATGATGTCTCCGTTCCAAGGTTACAGAATTTTAAAAATTAGTGTGTGAAATATTCACCAGGTTTTTCTTGGTATACATGTTTTGTCTCATTCTGAGAATTATTTGAGGTCATAATGCCAGCCCCTCAAATTTTAAATCCAGAATAGTTTAAAGATAACTTTATGAATATCTGCAAAACAAACTTGATTTACTAGAAATCCTGCATTCTAACGGCAAGAATTTTTAAAGAAATCCACAAGGATCATGAAAACAGGGTTTAATTTTATGTATATTTTGATACTACTTTCACAAACGCAGATGTGCTAGCAAGTCTATCCAAATTATAGCAGTACCATCCGAGCTATGATTTATTTGTCTAGATATGATCTTTAATATCCTTTAAAACCTAACTGTAAACTCCCACAGCCTTGATCCTCTATTATTCCTGCACTGATAACAAAAGGACAACAAATAACAATCTGAAGCCTTGGCCTCAGAATCATTTCCTTTTCCCATTCAGCTCTGCAGGTCTATCTAATGAAATCTATTCTACTTGCTTCCACCAAATGATCCTGCGTCACCAGCAAGACCTGACAGACCAAAACAAGATTTCTAATAGCATTAAATGGAATGCTCAGTCTTAAGCTGTGGCTTTGAGCATGAAACAAAGCCATTTTTAAAGCAACTATTATTTGGAAATGAGAACATCTTTCAAAAATAAAAAACATGTAGCACAAGTAGAAAAATCAAAAGAAATTTACCTCACGACATATAGTTTATTTGTCTCAGTCACATCTAAATCGGTGCATCTCAAACCTGGATAATTACCCAAAATAGAATGAAAGTGGGTTTTTTGGGGGGCGGGGGGATGCAGTAATGACACACAAAATCATTATCCAATTACAGTGACTTAAAATGTTTTATCTACATTGGTAAAAAGTGGTTTGGGGTGATGAAGAATCACCTGTACATTGAACAGGTGCATTCTACATTGAACATTAAAAAGGAAACTTGTTACTCAGATATGCATAATGTTCCTTTCTCCTATTTTCCTCACAACAACCCTGTGAGGTGGGTTGGGCTGAGAGAGAGCTAGTCCAAAGTTACCCATCGGCTTTCATGCCTAAGGCAGAACTAGAACTCACAGTCTTCTGCTTTCTAGACCAGCATCTTGCTCACTACACCAAATTGGCACTGCTACATTTATTATCACTTGTGTCTTCTCTCTTCCAACCGTAAGCCTATCAATTGATGGAGAGTGCGCACACTCACACCGATACATATTGATTTGCAAACAAATAACATTTTTATTTATTCATTCAAAACAAAGCTAAAGTGTGTTTTATACACAGGCAGCAATTGTATTTTTTCCACCTTTCTTTTGGCCATAGAATTGTAAAGCAGGTTGTGCATGATACCGCTCTCCAATTTTATTGTTTGTTAAGCAGTGTAATTGTTTCAGAGATCCTGATTGGGAATACACTAACCTGCATTTGTTCAAATATTTGTGAAAGCCAACAAAAGCTTTACTTACCGTAAAGTAACCATCTTGAGTTACTTAGAATGTATAAATATGGGATAAAAATCTAATAAACAAACATCAGGAAGAAAAAGCATGAGAAGATGGGAAAGTACCATACCTGAAGGAGGAACTAGAAAGGATGTAGAAAATAAAGGTCAGTGGCAGCTGGAGCACCTGGGCAGCTAAGATACTATATATAATAATTAAAACTCCCAGGCCTCTGGTACCCAAAGTTAAGGAAGACACATACAACTTGTATAGGAAAGAATCTTTCTATCTTTCTATCTTTCTATCTTTCTATCTTTCTATCTTTCTATCTT